GTTCAGACGTGTGCTCTTCCGATCTCTATATTAGCAAGATATAATACATATGAATTACAATGTATTATATGTACATGTCTAAAAAACATTGATCTATTAATAAATCATAAAATTAATGTTATATTATATTGACTAATTGCTTAAATTTTAACAATTACTAAACCTGCCACGCTAAGTCCCGTAAGTGTCGGTCTTTAAGAGTATCTCGTCGGTGACTAGTATGTACAAACACTTAGGGAGAATTCACATTGGAGCGGAAAAGCAGAATGCGAAAAGGCAAAAAACCAATCAGAAATTACACTTAGCAACCAAGTGCTATACTTGCTAGTACTTAATAGTTGTAAGTGCAACTTCTGGTTGGTTTCTGCCTTTCCGCATTCTGCTTTTCCGCTCCAGTGTGAGTCCTTCCTTACCTCTTTACGAAATACATTTTTTTAATGATCCTGATGATCTTTCGAAGATAATCGAAAGACACAAGCTATAACTTTCGTTAAAATTTTTATTTAATTATATTTTAAAGAAAGGGAAAGAGAGAGAGAGAGAGAGAGAGAGAAAACAAAGAAATAATTAAATGATAAATTACATATACTTTCTTTTTCTCTTTCTTTTTAGCATATTTTGGAGATGTAAAGAGTCTAAAGTCTTAATATATGAAAATATCGAGATCACAATAGTTTTTTAATTACAATTAATCAAAGATAATCTGCAGTAATCGGGACAAGCTTATTTTATAAACATATACATACATACATACAAAATATAAAACTTTTATACCAATAAACAAATGACAAATATATATAATATACATATATATATATATATATATCACAGATTTGGAAATCCTTTTCCAGAATTAAAAAATTTTCGAAAATTACAGTTTTGTTTTTATTGACTTCTAGCGTCGACTCATACACACACACATATATATATGTGTGTGTGTGTGTGTGTGTGTGTGTGTGTATGAAATAATTTAATCTGCATTCCGTTACTTTAATGCTGGAGAAGAATTTCCAAATCTGTAAAAGCAATACATATGAAAACCTTGTACAAAAATTATTGTGTTTAGGCCCGGTTTCACAATTCACGATTAACTGATCGACTCGTCGAACTGAAATTCAACTCGCTTTATCTTTTTTTTAAACCTAAGAATTAGAAAGAGATAAAAAGAATAAGTTTTAAACTGAGATTAAAGTTAATTTTTATATTTGTGGAACCGAATCTTAATCGCGACTTAAAACAGACGACTTTAGACGACTTCTAAACGAAGTACATTGTGACACAATAAAGTAACACTGATGTATATCGTTTTACATTTAAAAATAAGGTTTTATTAACAAATAATACGAACTTAATTTTTTGTTATACGTGCGACAAAAAATGTCTTCTCCACGTATTGATCTTGTGTATAAAATCAACATGTAAAATCCCCTGGTCTAATCTAATCTCTTATTCCTCTTTTGTTTAAATTTACAGACCTTTACAAGTGTGTGATTTGCTGTTCCAATATCCCGTGCTGTGTTTGTGAAGAGTGTACTACTTGTTGGTATGAATTATCCAGCTGCTTACATGTCATTTATAAGATGTTTAATCTCTTATTTCTTAGTAGATTAGGATCCAGTTTAATAATCGGCAATATTTATTTCAGGTACGAGCAACGACAGTTAATAATAATGACAGAGATCGGTATTTCCATGCTGTTCGGTATAGGTATCGTCGGCCTGCTAATAGTCTACTGCAAAATATGCAACAGGTATACGCAAAGGCCCTAGGTCTAATATAGTTCATTCCTTTTAATTTTCTCCACTATTATATATGACCAAATGTCCTGCTTTCGAGACGATTGTTCTGCTGCCTCATCAAACATGTTAAATTAATATATCATAATTTTTGCAAAAAAGTTCCGCTAAAAAATACATTTATAAAGGAAATTAAAAATCATGCAAAAAATATTTTGAAGTACTACGATCTGCTTTGATCAAATAAGATCTTCATTAAATTGTGTTATTCATATCTCGGTGGATTTCCACTTAATATTGTTATTTCACTATAGTCTTACACTATAGTCTTTCACATTAACATACCATTCTCATAATAGCTTAAATTCTTATATGTTTAACAGCTGCTTTTTAATATTTATATAATTTTATTAATGTTTTCCCGACACATAAAAAATTTTTAAAGATTATAGAATTAGATTCAGCAGCACAAAAACTACAAAAAAAGAGATAGTTTTACTTGCCACTCTGGGGACCATTTTATCCATCCACCTTTGACGAATTGTAATAATCTTCCTACATTTTATACGGAAAGAATGATTTTACTGATTTAAAATTTTAAGTAGAAACCTGAAAATAATTTTGTTGAACTATTAAAATAATTGTAGGATGTTTAAATTGGTTGCTAAAATCAAGAAATCTTTTATCTTTGTAAGTCTAATAAAGAAGACTATTTTGAGGTTTCTTTTATTTAAAATAATTTATTTATATTTATTTAGAATTTATTTAGAATTTATTTTTAGCTTTATAGGCTTTTGTGGGTTTATTGAATTATCTTCTCAAAATTTGATGTTAATTAAAATAGTACTACGGACAGCTACTTCTTAACAACTACAAAGCGCGATTGTGTTCTGCGTTTCTGGATTGTCACAATCTTTAAATTTTTAATAATATTCTAACGAAATACGAAATTTTAACAATATCTAATTCTTTGATATTTAGTACTGCATTGAGAATGATCTCATTACAGATCAAAACCTGTAGGTCTGCGATTATTTATGTTTTTATATTTATATTTTTTGATCAATAAATTGTCGACTCACTACCCTTTCTTTATGATCTCTGATATGTGTAGATGTTTTTTGTTAATTTCAAAATTACTAATATTCAAACGAAGCATTATAAAAAAATACCTTAATTAAAAATCCATTATTAAACAAATTCCTGAAAATAGTCTTCTTAATTAGACTTTGGAAGAATTAAATTTATTTGTGTGATTCAGGACAAGGCAACAACATACGCGACGGCGTAGAAGACGCATCGTGTTGCATGAGGAATTAACAACGTATCCCAGCATCATCGAAGATCTACGGGAGAGACCACCTTCGTATAATGAGGTCGTTCGCAATGCTCCGTCTATTCATACATCTTTCAGCAACAATGCTCCTCCTCTTTATACATTTTCCTCCTACAACGGGGTACATCAATTAAAATTTTAGTCTACTAAATATTAACAATAAATATGATAAAGATACGCGCGCGTGCGCGCGCGCGCATGTGTATTGCTACAACTTCCCAAGATATGAAAGATAAGCGTTAAAATGTACATTTCGTATAATGATAAAATTTTTCTGCAGACGTTCATGCAGGAAGCTCCACCGTCGTATCCGGGAACGCCAAAACCGCAAGAAAAGATCCAAGACTGCAATGAACCTCCTTCCTCATCTGCCGTTGCTCAACATATATAACAATACTCTTAGGCTGCGTTCCATTTAACGCTCGCAACGTTCGCGATTAACATTTGATAAACAAGGATAAAACGATTCCAAGAGCGTTACAAGCGTTAAATGAAACGCATCCTTATAGACACAAATAATTTGTTCACTGCGTGCGTGCGTGTGCGTGCGTGCGTGCGTGCGCGCGCGCGCGCGCGCGCGCGTGTGTGTGTGTGTGTGTGTGTGTGTACGCGCGCGCG